CAGACTGGTATTCATATCACGGAGATAACAGGATCCTTCGAAGGACGAGAGCCACCTCAAGCACAGCTCCCAAGCTCACTATGGCACAAGGGAAAGGTTTTCTTTTGCCTTCTTACCAGGAACATATACTTTATCATCTTTGAGCCCACAATCTTTTGCAACATACTTGGAAAGGTGAAGTACAGCTCTCTGAACCCTCATGGTGTGCCAGGGGCCTCACATACATGTTGCAGGCTCCATCCAGGCTGCTGGTATCCTGGAAGAGGCAGGACAGGTTATTGGTCCTGACACACAGCTGGCCACACGCAGTGCACTCTGTGAACTGGTACTCAAAGGTCTCCTGCTCACTGCTCTTTGTGTCCCCGCTCAGGAAAGCAGAGTGTGAGAGCCTGGAAGGGCATCTGTAAGAGGGAACAGGACTCTAACTCCCTGCCTGAACCCCAACCGAACAGCAGGGACTCCCACAGTCTCCTGGAGGTACAGGCCAACAGAAACCATGTGTCAGGGTGTAGGGATGGCTCTCAAGCCGAGCATGGCACTGATGGCTTACAGTGTACCTGCAAGGAAGAGGCTGCAGAATGAAACAGGGGTCCTTGGATATCACAACAACAGAGAGAGCAAAAGAAAGAGATACCTGAAACCTCTTCTGAGACCCAAGTTTGGAAACGGGATGTGGGGTGTAGTGGTGAGGATCAGCTGTCTCTGCTGTCCCCCCCTCTCAGCACCATCCTAGCCCTGGCAGCCCCAGTTTTGATAGCTCAAAAACAGCATAAAGAGGACCAACAGCCACACTTCCCTCTCCCTGCCATGCACAGTGAGATCATCTGATATAGCACATCCATGAAATCATGGCGCTAGTGGCACCTCAACACCCTCGTTCCAGGGTTGCAGCCAGCCCCATAACTGATGTACTTACTGTACAAGTAACAATTAGGTTCTGCAAATACATGCTGTCTTTGAGGGGGGCTGTTATCCCAAGAGAAGAAAGGTCAATGAAGCCTTCCTGCTGCGAGGACACCCCAATTCACCACAAGGCTCTGAAGGAAGGGTTGAGTGCAGGGAGGAGTTGGCAGAAGCACCTTTGCTTTCTGCTTTCTCATTCAAGCTGTGTAGAATAAAAGACAGATGCCTTTGCTGCCCATGTGACAGCACTATTTGAACATACTTTTTTTTTCCTTCTGAGTGCTGTGGTTTAACTTTTGTCTTAACAAGCACAAACTTATGGGTATTTCCAGTACGAGTTTTGCATATAAAAGAACAAGAACATAGAAGCTGGGGCGGGGACGACAGGCTGAGCAGCTGGGGCTGCAGAGGAACAAGCTGCCAACAGGGAGCCTGGTGGGTGAGTGGCGCATTGACGGGATTTCAGTTGCATGCCAGCAGAGGGAAGCCAGAGCACCAGCAGCAAAGGAATTGCAAACTGAGGGTGCCTGGACTCAAACAACATGCCAACATAAAAGGCCAAAAGCATGAGAAGCACCAACAGATGAGTACAGATTGCAAATCGAGGGAGCTCATAAATCAGTGTGCCAATGCATGTGCCCAGAAGCTGAAACAATACAGCAGCAGAGGGAAGACAGACTGACAACAGTGTTTCAACAGACAGGAATAGATCACATATGGCACAGCAATGAGAGAAATGGAACAGCTACGCTGCATCAGCCCACATGAACCGCCTTCTGCCAGAAACCATTCAGTTCAGTCATTGGTCACAGATATCATGAAACAGTTTTCTGGACAAGCAGAAGAGGATTTTTCCTTTCTCCAGGTGTGTAGAAAGAAGAGTTAGAAAGGGCTAGTCCACAGGAATACAGTCTGCAAATGTAAAAGTGAGAGGAAAGTTGTGCCTCAAGTAATCTCGAGGTTAGCAAAATGCTGCAGGAGGTACTTCTGCTCTAGGACACTTAGGGCGCAGCTGGCCTAGTGGAGTTGTGCGTGCATATATCTGTATCCCTTCATCACTGTGGTGGTATCATCTTTGGTACTAGCTGGTGGGGCCAAAGTCACCATGCTGCTATAGATACCAGATCGGCACCCCCTGACTGCACATATCCGGCTGCAACAGGACTGTTTGGAGCCTGTCCCCTGCTTTCAGTAAACAGGTCTGTCTGCATCAGCATTTCTCTCAGAAATGTTTTTCCTGGTTCATTAAAGGCAGACAGGATCTGGCAATCAGCAGTTCTTCTTCCCAATGCCAGTCAGTCACTTTTCATGTCTTTATGCCGTAAAATAATTTAAAACTCCTTATTAACACACTGAGGCAGGAATGACCAATTGCAATCCCTGTGACAGAGATGTGGATAACAATAACTGTGTTCTGATAAACACCAGTCCCAACTGCAGGAAATTGGGGCAGAGGGGCTGGTGAACATCAAGTTACTTTTATCTGCACTTTTCTCCTTCTCTGTCCTTTCCCATCTCTTCCCACATGGACTAGGAAGCACAGTGCTGTGTCTGCTCCCTGTCCCATCTGCTTCTGCTTTGCTTCCACAGAGACCATTCCTTGTTCCACATAAGCTGGGTTATGTCCACCACTGACCTGGGACACAATCCTGCATTGCCAGAACGATTCCTTATCAGCAGGACATAAGTACCACTGAGCCATCGTAAATGTAAATGCTGAATCCTGGTGCACAGCAAGCCCATGGCACATTTTTGGACCTTTAGCCAGAGGTGAAAAAAGCAAATGCCTGGAGGGGGTTAGAGTAGAAACACTCCAGCTTTGCCCACCCATGAGTAGTCCTCCCGTTGGGTAGCACCAGCATGGAGGGAAGGCTGGGCTCTACCCTGACCCTTGCTGGTGGCTGAAGGTGTTGGGCTGGCAATTAGCAACTACCAGAGAGTTCGCAGAGTCCCAGGGGAAATGGTTGCTGGCAATAACTCTAAGCTACAGGAGGAACCATGTTTACATGGCAAACACAGAGCACACTCCCCACCCTCTGTTATCAGGCAAACTGCACTTGTAATTTCTGGGCAAACTGCAGGAAGGAGGAAAGCTTTCCACATCTCAATCTCCCATCTCCAGCAAAAGTGCAGCTCCTGAATTCCACACAGCAAGGGCAGCACTCCTCAGAGACCGGCTAGTAGAACCGAGCACTAGCAACACTGGGACAGGGAGATGTACAGAAATAAAGCATGGGCCAAGATGATAAAAGCCTTCTCTGAAATCATTTGTGCCTTGGTGTACATGCAGATCCCAGCAGCTATACTTCGGTTTCTCTCTCTCAAGGGTTTATCTGAAGTAATAGCAGCAACATGGAGATTGGCTTGCAGGGAGAAGGCAGGACTATTTATTGGCTTTGCCTCTCTACTGGGAGACTTATCTTGTTGCAATCCTATGCTGTTGTGCTAAGCTGAGAAAGCAAGATAAACATTACTGACCCAAGCTCCTTCTGCTGCATCCGTGTCTTGGACACTCCTGAGCATTTTACTGGAAGTTAAACACTCAACTGCCCATGTCTGCCCAATAGCTAGCCCCAAAATGAGCAAACCAGGAGCAGCACAAATTTTGTCCTCATAGATCAGAAGACGCAAATGCACACAGCCGTACTCTCAGACAACGGAAATCAGCCCAGCTTTTGGTTGCCAGGTAGGGGGAAGAGATTGGTTGACGGGAGGTGTAAATCTAGACCAGAGCATCAAACACTTTACTCCCTGTGCTGCCTGGAAATGGTGTGTTCACTTTGTTGAATTGAGGCTTTGCAGCAGGACCATAATTGAAGAGTATATTGCTGAAAGATGAGGTAGGATTGAGGGAGGAGGGGTCCAACATGCTATAGTGCTGTCACCCATGAAGTCAATCCAGAGGTCAGCGGGCTTTCTAGCTCAAGCCTGAACTCATAAGCTGAGAACAGCAGAGCTGACTTGCTCTCAGTGAACCACCTCTGCTCTCAGGCTGCATCTTGGCTCTAGGGGAAACTTGAAAGATGGTATTTTACAGCAAGAGACCCTGCTGGGCTCCTCATGAATGGAGAAATGTAGTATGCAAAGGGGTTGACATCTGAGACAAGAGAGGACCTGAGAAATGGTGGTGCCACCTGGCACTTGGAGGCAATGCTGACCTCCACCTTCAGCAACAATGATAGAAGGGACACCTTGAGCCCTGTTGGACAAGGGAAACAACAGGAAATAATATGCTGACCCAACCTCCAGCACCCCTGGAATGATTTGCATTGCTGCCAAAAGCCCAGAGAGCTGGAAATACCCCTGGCATTTCATAGGCAGGTCTTGGCAGGACCTTCTTCCCTGACAGATAGGAGACAGACAGCTAAAGAAGTACTGCACAATTAGTGGTTTTATGACAGAAAAAAAATTGATGACAAAGTCCTTTGGTAGAGAACATGTGATCAGTCTTTTCTTACCAGTGACAGAGGAAACAGCAGCTCCTGAGCATGCAAACTCCTGGCTGCTGGCAGGACAAGGACCATAGTGGCACATGCCAGCTGCTTGTGCTGGGAACACAGAGTCTGGCATGGTGGAGAGCAAGCCAAGCCCAAGTGAGTTCCTGGATATGGTCATATGAGCAACTGCAGGGTCAGGGTGACTTGCGCTGGCTTACACCCCACAGCTGGCACCAAACTGTAACACTCTAAAGGGAACAGCCAAGCAGTCAGTGCTGGCTTATTTACCCACCAAGAGGGGTTGTATGATTAAATAGCTGCCGCAAGCTGGACTAGCTGCTTCAAAGTCAATTCATCTACATCTGCAGCCATTTTTGGAAATGTGATATAAGGGGCCCCAGGGGGGAACAGGCAGGAAGGTGGAGACATGGGACATGTGTTCCTCCCACTCAAAATCGTAAGTGGTATTTCAAGGTCTCACTAAGAGGTTGAATTAGCTGTAATCTCTTCTAGCGTTAACCTCTGCATTCAGACAAGCAGGACAGGCAAACTTGTCCTCCTGCATTCCAGTGTCCCCCCTGCGCAGAAAGATGGGCTTTCATGTGAGCAAAGCAGCGGAGATTCCCCCATTTTTGGGGAGATAATGCAGGCCTATTTTCATTAAAGGTGACTGTTGTCTTCTGTCACCGCATCTGTGAGAGATATGTTGACTGTCACTTCTGCAGCTGGGAGTGATGAGCTCTCTGAAGCAAAGGACACTCCCAGCCCTCTGTGGTGACAGTCCTTGTCATAATCTTCTTCCTCATCATCATCATTCTTCTGCAGATCTTGGTCACTGTCGTCATCATTATCTGCTGCTTTGTCCTCAATCACTTCAACCCTCTTTCCAGCATCAGGATCCACATCAATCTTAAACCACACAGCTTTATAGCCATCATCCACCGCATGCCAGTCTGTCTTGAGGATAGACTTCACTTCTTTCTCAAGCTTAATTTCTTCATCCACTTCCTCTTTCTCTTCCTGGTCAAAGTTGATAGTGGAAGCTATAGAAGCCTTTGGGAGGCTATCAATTTCTTCTGTGTTGGAAGAAGGCAAGGAAAGCGCTTGCTGCTCTAGCACCTGTGTTATCGACTGGACACTGCTGTTTTCTGACGTCTCATGCTGTTTGGTGCCCACGTCTGAGTGTTCATCATGCTCGTAAGATTGATTCTGGTAACTCTCAGAGATTTCCTTGGAGAACTACAGGAGGAGAGACACCTTGTGATTGTAGTGAAAGGAAAAGGAATAAGGGGGGAGAAGAAGAGGTGGCTGAAGTGATTGAGCTCCTGCTCATAAAAGTTTCAGCTTGTTTTGCAGTTAGACCTATTTGAAGGCTGGGAAAGGTACAGCTTCCTAGAAGAGGTATTTTTTATTGACTCAATTTCCAGATTTTTTCAGATAAGCATAGGCATGTTTTCCAGGAGGGCTGAGCACCAGCAGCGTATACCAATTTGTACTTATCCATATGAAGTATTACTCTGGAGTGGGATTTACCTCACTCAAGGTGAAGGATTATTGTTAATCACCTGAGCTACGTGCTCTGAACTCATGTTGTAGTCAGTGGGGTCTAGGCTCCTTACAGTCCCATCATAAGACAGAGAGCAACATCTGGTCAGATGAGTTACACCCTAAACTTCAAAGTAACCAGACTGTAGCTCAAGTGCAGACAACTGTCTAAGCCCAGGCTTTATGATAGGATACGAAGGGACCTTTCTCTCCATTGACTATAGACGGAGGATGAACAGTGGTTTATACCACTGACACCCGTTTTTCAGAGACCACCTTTGATATGTGTCACATTCATCCTAGATTTTGAGCTCCATGGATCTGTGCTCCTCTCCCTACCATGTTTGCTCATCATCTACCACACACCTCCAGCCTCAAGGGGCAGAAAAGAACAACAGCAGGCAACACCAAAGCGATGATAGCTTTGCAAGCATTGTCTCAGTAGTGATTAATCACCTTTACACAAACGTATGGCATTTGGACAGCCCATTCATACTTTAAAGCCTTCTCAGATCCCACTTTCTAACTCTAAGAAATTCTTAAAGTGAGTCAGGTACAAACAAGGCACTTACTTACCTTCTCCCTTATCAGGTGTTTGACTGGTTTTCCATGCTGTTTAAATATCACCACTCCAAGGAAGACTAAGGCAATTAATAGCAGTGCTGCTAATGTACCACCTAAGATAGCCATATCCTGAACAGTGTATATCTTATCAGAGGAGGTTACAGCTACAAGAAAAACAAATCAGTGTTACAAAACCTAAAAAATGACAGCTAGCTTTTTTTAACACAACACTTCATTGTGGGAGAAGCTCCAACCAATTTTTGAAGGGCAAAGAAGCATCCTGTGCTGCAGAATGCAACAATGATTTAATGTTACTGACCACCATTTGTTTGCTGTCGTGAAAGCAGAGGGGTTTATTGGTTTTTTGTTTTGGTTTGGTTTTTTTGGTTTTTTGGTTGTGAAAGCAGAGGGGTTTGTTGGTTTTTTGTTTTGGTTTGGTTTTTTTTTGTTTTGGGGGTTTTTTTGTTTTTTTAAGGTGACCACCTCACAGAGTATTGTAACTTCCAATAAGTCACATTAAGTGGAAATAGCATCCATTTAAAGGACAATGACTTTTAACATAGGATTTAACTAAGCTAATATATACATGCAGATATCATATGGAGTAAAGCAAGGTGGATCTTGTACTTTCCCATTTCACCCATTTACACCAGCATGCAAAAGTGAGATGTGTTTGTACATACATGTGTGAAAATGCTAAGCTTCCTTTCATGTGGAACATCACCTCTGATACTGATGAGCACATAAGAATAGGAAATTAAAAAAGCATAATAGGAAATAGAAAAAGCGTTAGAAGGTCCCCAGGACAGGAAACCCTTTCCTGCCCTTTTTGTAGCTGTAGCAACATACACCAGCCTTCTCAGGAGTGACTTATGCTTTCAGCCACTGGTCAGTGTAAGCATATTTGTATGGAGATCAACATTATAGTGGAAAGACAGTAACTTCCTCAGGGTTAGGCAGCTTTGCTTGTTGTCAGTAGGACTATTTTTAAATTTCCCAGCTTCATTTTGTAGTGTAAATTAGTCTCTTTAAAGTTTAATGATTAATGAAACAAAGTTTCTTTTCTCCTGCTGACCCGTTTATGGCAATGGACTTTGAGTATTCCCTCCGCATTTGACTGCGCCCTCAGTTTATCTTCAGTATGTTGGTGAGGGTTTAGGATGTCAGTGAATTTTTGCTTCTTAATCATGTCTCCTAGGGAGCCACAGCCCACATTGCTGATCTGAAACTCCACCACCCTTAACTACTTCTGTGCTGTGCAGCACGCTGTGCCTCTGTGAAAGCTAGCTCAGCTTGGTGGAATGACTCACCTTGAGATCCATGTGAGCAGGCTCCAGCACCAGTGTCTCAGAAATCAGAGGCCAATGTACAGTTACCATTTCCCAGAAGGCGAGTATACTAAAACCAACTCTAGTTTCTCCCTGGATATTGGAACGCTCCAACCTGTTGCATGCACGTTCCTTAACACCACCTCTTAGAGCTGAGGGTGAAATATCCTACAGATTGGCCAGGCAACTGGTAATCTCGGCTCTGTTTAGGCCATTACTGGGTTCTAGCTATAACATAGAATAAAGCACAATTCCTCTCGTAGGCTCTGAGCCATTCAGTGTAATTTCAATCTACTTTTTTGCATAGTCACCAGCATCATTATTTTGTGGGGTTTAAATAGCAAGGGCAACATTTAAAAGACGTATAGAAGTGTTAGGACACCTATTTGGCGCATTTGCAGCTCTTTGTACTGACACCTGAGCTAGCTTTCTGCTAGCTGGACTGTGCCCTTAAATTTGGTTTAGGTATTTTTTTATGTAGCCAATATTTTTAGTTGTGAAGTGACACTACCTTTAGGGAATCCAAATTTACACCCAGGACTCCACTTTCTTTTTCCTCTAGAAATCCTCACAATGGTCATGGTTCAGAGGGCAAAGTAATGGAAGAGCCCAGCTGGGAACTTCAATCACACATCATCATGTAGAAACCAATGCAGTCTGGGTGTTATCTGCCTATCCTGATGTGAAAATGCATGATATTGGTTCATCTTAATCCAAAGTGTAAAAAGCTTCATAAGCTTCAAATCTAACTGATTTATAAGATTTATTTAAGAGTCATTTCTAAAAAGTATGGAAGCGTAAGCTATTTTTACATCAACAAAGCCAAATGATAGCCTCATGGCTATTTCTCATGGGTCATTTCTCCGGCAAGACCTTAAAGTTTTGGAGTGTAAGAACTTGACCTGAGTAGAAAACAGCTTGGCTCATGAGGAAGCCTGGCTTTGTGGGAGCATGCCAGCTTCTGTCTGCTCTGCATAAGACAGGATAATGTTGCAGTTTTCTCTATTTTCGGCTAAAAAGGAGCAACGATGTACCAAGGTGTCAGGGCAACCTTCCTTTGCCATGATAAGATATCCGGGGTTATTTCTGACCCACGAAACAGCATGAAGCAACCCCAGATTTAGCTTTGGAATATGAGGAAAAAAACCCCAAACCACTACAATACACAGCACTATTTCAAGTCCCAGGAGACCGTGGGGTGTGAGGCATGTGGTGACCACATCATAAGGATGTTGTTTGAGCATTTTCTCTCTTACAGCTGCTGTAGAATCTCCTGTAGGTATGGCGTTGGGCTCAGGCCAGGTCCACAGACTTCAGTGGGTGACCTGTCATTGCCAGTTTGCCCACAGAATTGGAAACCACTCCCAGTCATCTTCACAAAGCAGAAAACAAAGAGGCATCCAGCCTACCTGTGGCAAGGATGACCTCCACCACGATTACAGTGCTCGCCTCCTCCAGGCTCACCATATCTTTTCCAACAGCCTATGTGAACGTGAGAAAGAGATAGCTTAAGGACTTCCTGGATCTCCATCTCGCTCTTAAGGTATGTGGTGAGCCCTTTGTGGGCAAAGTATTTTGTCCATATCCTCACCACATCTTCACAATAGCCCTGCATCATAGCTGGGCAATATGGTCAGAGGAAGAAGAACTCTGAAGGTTCCCTGCCCTGGGCCAGAACCAGGTGCATCATTTATGTACAGCTTTGCAGCACCGTGCTGTACATGGATAATGAGGTAGTACAGGGCAGACAGCAGCATGTGTTGGCACCTCTTTTTGCCTGCCAGTGTAGCTAAAACAATGCTATAGTCAAGCTGGTTCAGATAGCTCCATAGAGCATGACATTGTGCTAGGCAAGTCTTAGGGAACCAGTTCTCACTGGCAGGCAGATGGACAAAGTGAACATTTAGCTTCTTAGAAAGTCTAAAGTTATTAACTGCTTCCTTTGACTTGAGCAAAAATAAGTACTGGATTTACCAAATTATTTCCAAGTTTAGGGCTGTAGCCTTTAGTGAGGGGTATATACCAACAATCATACCCTACCCATACCAACACATCAACCTCCTACCCACGTGCTCACCCCCCATTTTTTGTTAATCAGAATCAGAGCATGGGAGAAATGCTCCTAAAACCTCCTCAGCTGACTTTTTGGTTGTGTCCAATGATATTTTCTACAGGACTGGAGAAACAGTTTTACAGCTAGCACCAGAAATAGCCTGTATCACACAGAGTAAATGTGCTGTCACTTCATCTGCCTCCATCTCTATACATTCATGATGCAAATGGTTGGGGCAAGGACTGTCCTTTCATTATATCCCTTACCTAATGGAATTCCACCCTTGGTACTTCTCTACCAGAAACTACCCCTTCCTTCCACAACCCTGGCAAGATAATGAAGAAAGTTGCCCTACCTCAATGGTTACAGTTTCCGGTGACGGCAGCATCACATTTGTCAGGATGAGTCCATCTTTGGTTGTGATGAAATTGGTGCTGTTTTTTATGTAGTACTCAATGTTCGGGTTGACTTTCTGAAAGCCAGAAGGGTGAATTATTAAACCACACTGTTTGTGCTTTGCATGCATCTTCATAACAACCCATTGGCAGGACTTGTCAAATATATCTGATGTATGAGCAGGTATATAGTGCAATAAATAAGTCCGGACTGAGGACACAAAGGTTGAACTCAAGGGTGTTCACCCTGTTGCACAGAGTTCAAGAATGTATCCTAAAAGCGTTGCCTCTAAAAAAAAATCTCAAGTCTTTCCCAGCTTGTGTTGATATATTTAGGAAACTTGTTCTACGTTTAATACAGTGCCAAAGAGGGATGTACATGGAGAATAATACTTGTGCTGAGGTCTGCACAATTTTTTACTTTGTGGCTAGGCTGTTATTCCTCTACTAGCTTCCTAGTCTTGTTATGGAAGCCTTGGAGTCAATAAAACTAGCACTTTTTTCTTTACTTAATAGGGTGGGATGGGAATGGCTGGTCAGTAAATCTCTTCCCCTTTCCTTCTCCCAGTATGCTGTTCAAGAATGGCACTCTCAAAATGAATCCTTACAGGAAGAAGGTTAAAAATATCCAGCTCAGGACTGCAGGTCCTTGCTAGGCTGCTTTTTGGACTGGCTCCTCTTCCCAGGCCAGTCCACAAATAGCTCTCCTTGACCTGGCAGAGAGAGGACACCTCCACCTGGGATCCTGCCACCCTGAACTCTTCAAGGAAACACTTCACACAGCCCTAATTTAGATCTGAACCTGTTCACAGTATTTGCTAACCCTGGGCTTTACTCAGTTTTGCAGTGGATCAGCTCACCTACATAAACCTGGGTGGGACTGGCTTTTGGAAGAGAGGAGTTCAGCAGTTTCTCCACAATACATCACACCATAAGCAGTTCTGATCTATGTGGAATTTCGAGGGAAATTTAATATGGAACGCTAAAGGAAAATATTTGCCTCTCCCCACCTCCCCTTCTTCATGTTTTCTTATCCTGCTTTAAGCCTGAAGCAGTGAGAATGAAAATGCACTACATTTCCAGTTTCTTACATTAGGGTAATCATCATCCACTGCTGTTATCATCAGGGGGCTTGAAGGATCACCAGCTTGGAAGACAAATCTTCGCGAGGCCAGACCAACAAATACTGTCCCGTTGTAGATCCTGCTTTCAAAGTATGGTGGATAATTACTTTTAGCGATGACCTTAATCTCTACACTGACTGTAGAGTATTTCTGTATGTTGTTGACCTGGGTGGCCTGGAGAGAAAGAGAGAGATGTTAGCCTTTTCCTATTAGTGTTGAGACATAAAAGGACAGGCCTGTTCTGAAGCCCACTGCAACCCATGGGGTTCTGTCCATCATTTTCAGTGAGCTTTGAGGCAGGCCTGTCACAGGGGGCCTTATGGTTTTGGACTCCTTGTGTTTTAGCTTGCTTCTGCTGTTGGCGCTCCACACAGTCTTGGTCTAGCCCCACAGTCTAGATATGACCCTCCATAACCCCCACATCCAAATTGCCATGCTCCAGTACAAAGCAGTGAGATTCCAGCACCAGCAGGCAGAATCTGCTCGTCTTTGTGAGGGTTTGGGCCAGTACAGTTACTGCCTGAGAGTCCACATCTTCCCGGATACATACGTGCAGGGAATGCTTTTCAACTCCCTCCTTCCAGCTTGAGCTGTAGCGAAAAGAGAAGCTTGTCTCTAGGGTTGAGTTACATTAACTACTGTAACACAAGCCTCAGTCGTGCCTAAAGAAAGCCTTCCAGTTATGGTCCTCCATACTTTCAACTCAGCAGGATGTCCCCATTCGGTTAATTAGCTTTGATGTTGCAATCTACACATAAGGGAAAATGCCTCTTCTGCAAGAGCTTTGCATGTAAGTTGGTATAAGACACTGGTCAAATACCAGGCCCTTCCAAAAGAAAGGGTGTAACTGAGTTGGCATTAATTATTAACATAATTGACTCCTGTCACATCAAGACTGCTGCTTCTTAGAAAGCCAGCTATGCCAGGTTGTTGTCTGCAATGTCCTCAGACTTACCATGACTTGCAATAGGTACGAGCCTGGAGAAGTTGCTGCTTTGTTCATAGTCAGATTCCCAGTGTCTGCATCCACTGAGAATAATTTGTCTGTATCCCCTAAAGAAAATAGAAAGACTATTCAGTCATCAGATACCTTCCTGAAGTGACCTGGAGCTCATTGACTCATTTTTTCACGTCTCAGTAGACAACACCCCCAGGGCATAACGCTGTTTTCCTTGCCTGCCTGGCTGCCTGCCTGCAGCCAAGGGCTGGGAGTGCTGGCCAGGGATTCAGACGGACTCAACAGACAAAAAGCATTGAGAAGGTTCGTGTGAACCCGACTAGACAAGGCAGGAAAGCAAAGCTTTGCATCTCTGGTGCCTAGGCCCATATATAGCCAGCTTGAATTCTGCTAAATGCCTAGAGAATCTAGTGCAATTTGAGGACTGAAAGTCTCCGGTTGCCTAACCCTAACCTGAACCCAAACCCTAATTGAATCCAAACTGCATTTCAGGAGAGATAAGAGAAGGATTATTCCTATTTTAAAGGCAAGAAACCCATCTACAAAGTATAGTTAGGTGGGGATTCTTCTCAAATAGCTCTAGGCATCTAAAGGGAAGACATCTCTACCTGACCTTGTTACCTATATTGTGAAGAGAAAATGGCATTTCAGTGCATAATTTATCTGACTTGCTGTGAACATTGGCCTCAATGTGAGCTACATTCTGCTCTGGAAATGCTTATTTCTCTCTACTGACCACAAAAGGAGCCTAGACACAGAAAACTTCTTGTATTCATGTAGGGGTAGAAATCAGCTTCCTACATCTCTAATCTGTGTTTGAATCATAAAAATATCTATGCTGTTAAAACATAAGCAAAATTTTTAGGTTTTTTGCTCATTCTGAGGCACTATGGGCTGTATTTAGACAAGGAATGCCCAGTCTGGGGTTCCCTACTGACTGTGGGGTAGGGAGACCACACTACATCCAAGATGCCAGTGGTATTTAAGGTTCTTTAATATATTTATTATCAGGAAGATATTCACAATATGGTGCCATGTGGCACAGGTAAGGGGAGATGAACAAGTGATCATTCCACCTGACCAGTATTATCTACCTTTGCCTTGATAGTTATTCAAAACCCCACTATTGTTTAAAAAAAGAAAAGAAGAAGTCCTTTGAATTAAATAAATGGCCCAGTCAATGACTGGGAAATCAGTTGACTGTATTCAAGTAATCTTTTTGAAATCAAGACTAAAACAGGGCAGATTAGACAATGGCACTGTGCTGAGGAATAAAAACATAATTATTGGCAATGAATGAAAATTATGCTGATGATATGGGAATTTTAGGTTCAGCTCAAAGACTGAATGAAAGTGGTGTGACCAGACTGGCAAAATCAAGTCTAAAAGCTTAAAGATAAAACATGTCTCACCTCCCAAAAAACCAAAGTCCTTTTAAACAGATTTCATAGACACTGGTTTGTGGGACTGTAATTCTTTCTTCCTCTCTGCACAGTCTGTTTCTTCTGCTTCATCCACAATGTTCTGTGGATCTAGTTATGTTTCTGTGGCAGAAACAGAAGGGCAAATCCCCAGGCCCTCAACTCTCAAGTGCCATGGAGGGTGTCTCCTCTTGGCAGGTAATTTAAGGAACATATGAGCAATACAGTTTGTGGAAGATGACAACTTCTACTCACCACCAACAATACTGTACACAATTTTTTCATTTATCGTGCAGTCAGGATCAACAGCATAGATAGGCCCCGGCTCCAGGATGAGTGGTTCTGTCTGCAATAACAAGACAAAGCATTACATACCACACTACAGCACCAAATTAGCGTTTGCAACATTTTCCTGTCCCAGCGTGGCTCTAGTGGTTTTGTCTGGGCAGAATGGCATTTATTGCTGGGAAATGGCTGTAACAGGGCAGAAGTGGAACACCTTAGAGCAAAGGATTTTCCAGCTCTCGCCTCTCCCGTGATGTGCTGCAGGAACAAAGGCAAGCAGTGCTGCTTCGGATGGGGGAACCTCCACTTCCCAGGGTGATGAAGGCTCCCTGTCATGCTGAATCATCTGCATTTATGACTGGAGATCATCACGAGCTCATAGAAATGATTAGGCACTACCCACTGGGAATGGCATCTGGATATTGTTTGAGAATAGCATCAAGGATACAGTTTGGTCATGCCTTCTTACCGACACCTCAGAGATATTGACCTTCCCAGTATAAGGGCTGCTGATGCAAACGCTATTGTCCGTGTTAATGAAAGTACAGGGTAGGAACCACGGTGGTTTGGTGTCAGCTTGTTCAATAAATATGTTTATTGTTGCGGTAGCTGTGTTGGTGATGGCGGTGCTGCCCACAGGCCTGTCCTGTACCCAAAGGCAAAGCATACTTGTGAGATGCAAGTTTTATGGCCAAAAGACGACTCCATCTGCAAAAGCCAGTGGTCCAGGGAATTTTAGCTGTTGTAAGACTTAGCAGTTTATGTGAGATTAGCTAAAGCAGTGAATTATCTCATTCTGCTGACAAAGGTAGACTAAATGCAAGGCTGGACACAGTCACTGTGCAATTATGGAGGGTGGAAGGCTGCTCCAAATTCACCGCCCCCAGTACCCACCCTCCCTCCTGCCATCCCAGAGATCTCCCATTCAGACTTACCCTTCAGTCAAGAGAGACTGGCGCAAACAAGGCATGTTGTTACTCCTGAAGAACTTACCCTTGCATACAAGACCAACGTTGTCAAGTTAAATTTGTCATAGTCCAATGCTTTTTGTAAATAAATTTCTGGATTATTAACTCCTTTTATGGCAAAATAACCGTCTGTGTCCTGGGGGGCGGAAGGAAAAACCCTACTAGCAGATTAAATCACAGACATGTTTGAAATGCTGCTTATTGCTGTGTTCGTCATCCCCATCAGACCTTTCAGCCTGGGGAACCGGTGGTGGGCGGGGTCAGTGTGCGAATGCCAGATCTATTTAACCTTCGTTATTGCACACTGGAGTTGCCTGGCTTGTCAGAAAGGTTTGCTCATGTTCCTGTCAGTTTTATTCTCCAAGTCACGCTGTTTTGCCTGTCTACCTGCTCAGCAGGTACTGGATGAAATCTTTTATCTCATTTATTTTCTCCACTCAACAGGTTAGCAACAATCCTTGATTTTGGGTCCATGACAGCCAAGCAATCGGACAGCCTTGCACAAAACAGATCAAAGATGGCTCAGCCTCTGAGAGCTGGCAAGATCACTTGCCTTAGCCTGGCACAGCTGAACTTCAGAAGCAACTGTAAAGCTAAATTGAAATAACAGAAGTTGCATTTTACTCTATAACCTTCTGCATGTGCCTTGGTTTTCCTTTAATCTTATGTCTTGACTAGAATTCCTCTGGATTTCTAAATGCCTCTGGATTTACAGCAGCGTGAGTGTAAATTTGGTGCCATAGCTGAAATTCAAAAACTTGTGGTTTCTATTCACAACCTTTAAGATCCCTGGGGCTATGGAGGTAATGGAGGCAGAATGTCAGACGCTGCCTGCTCACTCCACAATGCTTTTTAAAAATTTAAATATACATTTTGGTTTTCTCTTGAATTTACTTTTTATTTTAGTTTCTAGCCCTTGCACTCTAGGCTGACATCAATCTAACTGTACAAACAATTCATTTCCCATGTTATCAAGCAAACCCCTTAAGAGCAAATAAACTAAGACACTAAACTGGGACCTGGGGAAAGTGGAGTCTGCCTTCAGCTTTGCCAAAGATTCATTGTGTGGTCTTGGCCATGTTATCACTACTCTGCATGGACACTGTTGGCAATCAGGAGAATAACTCTTTTCCCTGTCCTACTCAGTACAATTCGGAACTCTGAGATACAAAGGACTCCTGATATGTTGACAGACCATCCCAACAAGACTTCCCTAGATCATATGGCTCAGAATAGCCTAGGTGAAAGTTTAATTTGTACAGTGTAATAAAAGCATAAGCAGTAAAATAATTCAATACCTGCAATGTTGATTGCTTTGTTCTGCTAACCAAACCAACGCTTGGTTTTTGCAAAAGACCAAGAAGCTGTCAGAGAACTAAATGCAATACAGTGACCTTAGCCTCAAAGCCAGGGCTCTTCTGAATTAAACACAAAGACTTCTCTAGAGCTACTGTTTTTTCCCCAAAGAACAAAGATGCTTACCGGCACTATTGTTGTGAGTTCATAAAATACGGTGTCTGGGTCAGCATCACTAGCACTTAAATCTTCACGGGCTACAATAGTTGCATTCACCTTTGTATCCTGAAACCAAATTGCTGTGGTTATTCTCTGTGAAATGGGCTGAAGACTTCTCCCTGCTAACCCTTCTTTAGTCCCACAGCACTGGGTGGTCACTCAGTGCTCTCTTCACTTGCATAAAACACTTACCTCAGGAACAATTTTGGTGAGATTTGTTCGCTTAAATACTGGGCTGTTATCATTCACGTTGAGAATGGTCACAAAAATTTCCAAAGAATCACTCTGCAGAAAGAGTAAAGCGAGAGAACCAAAGACAAAAATGAGACTGTTAGGGGCTGATCCTGATTTGCAGAGTGACCAGAGGGGATGGTGTAAGGAGCACAGCTCCTAGGGATAATCAGGATGGGGGCTGGAGCTTGCAGCCAGCCCAGAGCATGTGGGGGGTTTGTTGCCACCCCCTCCCCACTCGCAGAGCCTTGGGTGCTCTCTCTTTGACTGTGAGGAGGAGCGTGTATGTCCACAAAGAAAAGGAAATCTCCTCATCCTGGTCTGTGGCCTAGGAAGAGCAGAGGGAAGTACATGCTGCCCTGCAGTACCTTGTAACAGGGCTGAGTGTTTGGAAGAGCGCTCACCTGCCCATCAGTGTTCCGACAAATCAGGTACACCATCAGCAAGGGGTCTTTCTGTATGCAAAAACAAAAACCCAGCCATTGTAGAAACAAGCCAAAATGTACTAACTCTGCAAAGTACAAGATAAATGCATGCATTGCTGAATCAGAAATGCTGCTCGTTTTCAGGCATATCTAACTTTTCTTTTCTTTCCTTTACAGCCATCCATCAGCACCGGGATCTTGTGTATGATGGAGTCAAAGCAGACTGATATTCCAGCTTCTCTTCCCGCGATTCCTGTAACACGTTGGCAGAGCTAATCGTCCATTTTCTTGCACTTAAGGTGAATTCAAAGATTTCTTTTTAAATTCAATGAAACATAAATGTACCATGCAGCAAGTACAGTGTCACCTGCAGGGTGTTAAGTCTGCTGCTCTTCACTCAAATAAATGTGGGGTTTTACAGTAGGGGAAAGGCAGCTTAAGGATGCTTGTGGCTGTGTACAGAGCACTCCAGGAAGGTAAAATAATTTAGCAGCAACCTAACTGAACACACTGACCTTTTATACTGCCTTTATGTTTCACATAAGAACACCTCACTGCTCAGAGCTGTGTTTTCTACAGGCAAGCAGGGATCATTTTACATGAGTCCTAGAGAGCTCTAAACACAACAATTGTCACATTTTGGGTTTTAAAACTTCCCCTTGCTTTAATTCATATAGACTCACTGAAGGAAGGTAACAGCAGGCGTACCATGCATCCCCCTCCTCCCAATACTCTGCTTGTGGAAGGGCTGACCTCCCAAGCAGTGAACTCAAACCCAACTGAAATAGGTTTATTTTTCAAAGTTATTTCCCAGATCCTTTAGAAACAGGTTACGAATCCCTGGACGTCCAAGAGCCCAGGTTGAAAATCATTGCATGCCAGCATTATCCATCTCATCCTTACAGCCTGCCAGCTAAAGGCTTACCTCATAGTCCACACTTCGGTTCAGCTGCAGCTCGGACCCCTGTAGAGTGAAAAATCTGGCATCGGGGGAATTAGGATCAATCATTACAGTGAAGCCTGGTTCCATATGAATAGTGGTCACCACGTAGCCAGGAGGGTTATTTTCATAAATGCTTGGTTTGCTATTATTGACAGAACAACCTGGAAAAACAAAAAAATGAGACACAAAATTGCCCAGGGATTCACATCGTGACAGAGTTGGGTGGGATGTGAGACCTCTCTGGTTACCATTGGAGATAAGGTCATTGAACAAAGCTGTCTCGGAGTAGGAGTGCAAACATCTCCCACCTATAATGGTGCACCCTGCTGTCATGGGGGTTATTCCTCTGAGGTCATGGACCTCCTGCAAGAGCTTACCTTGTTGCTGTGCTGAAACCTGTGTTAGGAAGGGTAGCAGAAAGCACACAGAAGTGAGGAGCCAATGAGAAACAGCCATGGTGAGCTGTCAGTTGTTGAAAAATTCCGTTTCCGATTAAGCTGATCCTCTTCTCTCCCTGTTTCTCCCAGTGCCGTCTTCTGTGTTCACTGCTTCATGAAGGCAAAAAACACTGGCTGGCTGGTGCGCATTACTGCAGTTCAACCTTTGCCTCTTTGCCTCATTGGATGACTTATTGAAAGTTATTTACCAGTCACAGAACATGATAACGCATAAATTCCGGTTCCTTCTTTGTTCCTGGGTCTTGCATGTCCTAAACTCTCTGTAGCAACAAGGATATATTTGAAGTATTTCAGAATTCAGAGCCAAGCCCCCTGAGATGAGTATGAAGGAGGACAAGGGCTGACACTTGGGAAGCTGTCTGTATACGCCAGCCTCTCCCAGTGGGGAGGAAGTAGGCAAATTTATGTCATTGCTGTGCCAGAGAGAAGGTCTGTTTTGGTCAGATCATTTCCTGGAAAAAGGCATAATGATGCTACTGTACCCCCTATATATTATTTATTTTGCCCAGGCTTTTTCTGCAGGGCCCACGTTCCCTTTTATAACAGGTTTTGCTCTCCAGCCCAAGACTTACGGTTTCTCTCTTCTAGTTGCAGTCTGTCACATTGTTCCTGAAAAACAGATTCTTTTTAAAAAAAAACAATTAAAAAGCCAGCTCTCAAATATCTTATCTTCATTTCTAGAAAAGGCAAAAGTTTCAGTGAAGACAAAGCCATCTTGGCTGCTTTTTTGTTTTGATGGTGAAGGAAGGAGGTAGGCCCCATGTAAGTTCTTGTGTTGAGATAATCAGTTACGTTTCTGAGATGATGTTGTTATTCCCAACCAACCTACAGTACCCTCATAAGGTGAGCAGAGTAGATCCAGAGACAGCAACCGGGCTCAGCTGCAGCCCAGTAATTTCCATGCAACTTTGTAGGGACAATGCATGTCCCCTTCTACCAGTTGTCAGCAGTAGCTTTTTGTAGGGATACTCCTCAGAATCTCCATCCAGGCTCCAAATATTCACATTTCAGCAGCTTCATGAAGCCTCGATAGCATGATAGTCTTGTCCTATCTTTTTCTGAGCCTGCATAAATTTTTCCAAGCCAAATATCACATGGCAAGGCATTTGGCCACTTGTGCAAAGCAACACCATTGTTTTCAACTTGCCCATTGTGTAGGAAGAGAAAGGTGTCAGCTGCTCTCACTGCCCCTTTTAAAATCCCAATTGATTTCAGAAAGTTCTCAGATGTTGCATTTTAGCCAGGTGGTCGTTAGTGGCTTAACAAAATACAGACTGTCAACACTCCTTCCAAAAGTCCTCCAGGAGGTCTTTTTCCTAGCAGAGATTTCCTATGGACCAAAATAAACAAATGCCGAGGTCCACGAGAACAGCATTTCAGCATCGCAGTAAGGGAATGGGTGCTTAGATGAACATTTGAGAGTGAGTAGTTTCTTTGCAGATGTCAGATACATCACAAATGGTGAAAACTAATGGTGCAGAATGGAGTGAGCTGTTCTGTGGTAGGCACACACGATCGCAGCTGAAGGCACCTTATTTTAGAGCTGCTCTTCAAAATTGTTTGGTTTCACAGGAAAGTTGGAGTGGCTGTTCTATCAGAAGAGGGAATCTGCCAGGCAGCATGGTGCAGGGGTAACATTTAAACCTCATTAAATGGTGGGAACAAATTCTTCCTAGTGGGGCTTTCTCTTTAGTGGCTGTAAGAAAGCTGTTCCAGTAAATACAGGGGCAGAATGGAGTGGAAACAATATTTACAGTGTGTATCTATGTTGTGTAGCTCTCAGTACATTTCTTTCTAATAAAAGGGAAATGGTTTAGTGGTGGGATGGCAGGGTTAGGTTAAAGGTTGGACTCGATGATCTTAAAGGGCTTTTCCAACCAAAGTGATTCTATGATTCTATGGAAATCTAGCACCAGGCTAAGTTTCTGCTAAATGGAGGCCCTGCTACTGGCCTCTTTTTACAGTTGGGTTGTGAGCAGTGCTGAGTCCCAGCCACAGAAGATGTGGCCAAGGACCCCAGCTAGCCCCAACATGCCTCCTGTGGGGGAAGCACGGCAAAATACTTCTCCCCCCGACCCTGCATTCCTAATGGTCCAACATCTAGTAATGGTATCACCCTTATTACTGTTTCCCAAAGAGCAGCCAAAGCATAGGCGTAGCTAACAAATCTTTATTTGACTTCAGAAGCAGGCAGCCAGATGCTAACACAAAGTGGAAGTGATGTGCTTCATGCAGGCTCCATCTACTGACACCAGTTCACACTGACATATATTTCACTCTAGGTAATCAAAGAGGTTTTATTGGGTTTTGGCTGCTTTCCAGAATTTTTTTTTTATTTGCTCATCTCAAGAGCTTTTCCTAAGCAAATTCAACAGCTTCTTTCTTTATTTTCAAGGTTATATACATGCAAAGCCATCTCCTTGGCTGTTTCTTTGCCTTCACCTTTAGTTGAAACTGTCTGTATCTTCTTTCATATCTGCAACCAGCTGCTTAGAGATGGGGCAAACATACTGGCTGGTAATTGCAGCAGCTTCCCTGGCATCACTGTCCGAGTGGCTGCTGGGAGGGAAAAAATGAGTAATAGTTTGTTATTTATGGGGGTGCAGACTGCAGGAAGTGTGACAAGACCACCTTGTAAAATTCGAAGATGACTCTAAGGAGCGGGTGTATGATAGAGGGGCCCAGATCACGGCTGCCTGCAGCCAGGCACCCCACAAATGCAAAGGCAAGCTTATTGGTGTTATCATCCCCATTTATTCTAGGCAATGTAGACAAGAGGTACTAAGGGCCATCTTATTCCTCCTAATTTTAGTGATTTAACAGTGAGATGTCTAATTGAAAGTGGTCAGTCACTAGGAAGAGACAATGTCCAGATGCTAGGGCAGCCCATCCTGAGGTGTGTGTTTGAATCAGTAACTGAAACAAGACAGGGTAGCAAAGGCTTTCTATTTTAGCTGTTAGATCAGGTTTCCAAATGGGATGAACAATTGTTCCAGTCCAGGATGACAACTCTATGATTAGAAAAACGTATTATTTAATTTCCCTGGATTGTATTATTTTCAGTAACTGGCTTTTATGCGGCACTTCTTAGCTGTAAATCAATGCCAACTTTGCTTTAGGTAAGGCAAAACTGAGTGCCAGGTGGGCTTGGCACATAGAAATAGAGATTACTGTGAATGCAGGCACAGAAATCAATTGAGATTGCACACAGCCGCATGCCACCTTGCAGTTAGACTGAAGCATTTGCTTTTCTAGCTCTGCAAACCACCCCTGGGAGTGTGGTTGCTGGAAAAGTGACAGGAGGTACAAAACTGTGTGATGGAGGGCTGCAGTTCTCAGCAATGACAGTCCTCAAGACAGAGCCTCACAAGCTGATGGGGAATGAGGCAGAAGTGACTTTAAAATATGGACAATTTAGTAAATCTTCCACCCTTCCCTTTTTTAAGGGGGGATTTTGAGGCTATTAGCTGAGCCTTTTAGATCTGCTGCATTACATCAGACTTCTGTGCTTGGGGCAAAAACTGGGCATTTACAAGTTACTAAAAGTCCTCTTCTGCTTCAGCGCTGTGGTGATCGGGACCACAGAGGTGACAAAGCTGTCCCACCTACCTGGTGTTTAGAAAGCTCTGGTACAACCACATAAAGCAAAGTTCTTCATGGCTGTTTTCTTCCTCTCTCCCCTGCAAATCTGTGTTGACTGGGCCTGGAGAGCTGATTTAAATAAAGAAAATTAATAATAATTAAAAAAACCCAAAGAGTGTAACCACCACAACTGTAAAGCAGCACTGCTTTCTGGAAGGCAGGTTGACCCCACGCCGACCTGCCCTGCGGTCCGTGCTCTGTTAACCTGTCGACTGTCACTGTAGCTGTGCAGGAAGAAGAAGTAGTATCCTTTTTGAATCTGGCTCAAGATGCTTTCTGGCTGGCAAAGAGACAGGTTTTAATATGCACTTGCACTCTGCCTCATTACCCAGTACCGGCATGTCCTTCCGCCCGTGGAAATATACCTTTTTCCAGCATTCGGAAATTAAAAATCTACTGCATCTGCCAGGATTTTGTTAGTGGTGCATGCCCCAGAAAATATCAAAGCATCCTGAACAGATGGGAAGGAATCAGTGTGCTGTGTCTCTGCCTTGCAGAAAGGACCAAGCTTGAAGGAAACCTCTCCAGGCAATGTTGTCCCTTCATAACATGCCAGCAGCCAGGGCAACAGCAGCTATGCACCACATATCATAACTGATGATGTGCTCATATACCTGGCTTCAGGGGGAGCTAGTGGCCCCATATTTCAGCTGGATGAAAGACCCCATATTAGCCATATATATGATTATGTCTAAAGCCTGCCCAGTTTGGCAGTCAGAGCCATGGGTGGGGACTATGAAACCCAGGTCTCTTCCTCATTCTGTTATGAAGGCCTGCAAACAGTTTCTCAGGTGCTTTATTTTAAGTAGGTAAATTACCTACAACTTTCCCCAAAATGCAAACAAAAAATTCCATGCTGTGATCTAATGTAAAGTTTTGTGTCCTATGGATTAAGCTTGATATGCATACATAATAGATAATGTTGGTTTATGCTTAGAAGTGGCCTCAGTGAGAAGGTCTGTGTCCTGCTCTGCCTGCTGTGACAGGCAGGGCAGGCTGACAGGGTATCTCTGCTATTGCACAGAAGCTCCAGGCTCAGCCTAGCAGGAGGAGAACAACCCCAGCCCACTTGCCCTTGTCCTGAGTTTTCCAAACCACAGGTCGAACCAACTCTCCCTTTCCTTGGAGCTGAGACCAGCCTCCCTGCAGCCTGCATGGCCCAAGCTGCCTTCCCATTCCCCAGGAAGCAGAGCTCTTACCTGCGCTTGTGGCCCATGAGATTTTGAATGAATTTCTGAACCTGAGCATTTCCTCTCATCTTGCTGTATTCACTGGTAAACAGTCCGTCTGAGTGCCTCTGGGACCTGCATCAAGGAAAATACAGTACAGCAGCTGCTCCTCCCAGCCACATGATGTGGGACTTACCACAAGACACAGAAATTTCTCTCTTCCCACCATCAAGGAGCCCTGTATCCCTCCCCTTCTTTTCTGTCTCCTTTCATCTTGGGCATCTTCTGAATGAGGCCGGTGCTCCAGCTGGCACTGGAGCTGGAGACAGCTCAGCCCCATGGGCATCCCCCTCATTGCTGGGATCCCAACTCCTGCTAGAGACTTCCATGCCCCAGGAGGGTGGTTTTGACTGGTCCTTACCTCTCCTTGAGGCCCACCAGGTGTTTGACTAGCTGCTGCACGTAGGCATTGCCATTCATCTTGCTGAGCTCGCTGTGGAAGAGCCCATCAGCATGTCTCTCAGTCCTGGGAGGTTAGAAGAGAAAAAGAGGTGAAAAGGCATGGTTTTAAGACAAGAGAAGAATGGGCATTTAAAACTGCTCCCTCAAGGAAAGAGGGTCCCAAAGATGGGCAAGAATTTGTGCCAATTTGGCAAAGCTTCAGCAAAAAAAAAGGGCAAATCTTATAGGAGTTTAAAAGAAATATTTTTGTTAACCATCATACAGAAAAACTACCTGCACTTGTTGCTTACTAATATAAGGATATGGGAATGTGAGGTTAACACTGATTCAGCACAAAAGAGTAGGATGAGACTGGAAAAATAATAAATTAAACACCCAGATAGACAAACCTTGGGGAACAGGTAGGTAACTGGAGGTACCAAAGACCAGCACTCGCAGGTGGCTGATTGAGAAGCCATTAAAAGAAGCGCTTAAAGCCTCAGCGAGGTTCAACCAGAGCTGTTAAACTTGAGAGCAGACTAGCCAGTGGGTAGGATAAAAGGTCTGGGGTCCAGCTTCTGGAGAGACTGTGTGTGTGTGTGTGCGCGTGCATATGTGTGTGCATGCATGCATATGTGTGTGCGTGTGCTTTAATTGCCCCTGCACAAGTGGGAAGAGAGACCACCCTGCCGAAGTCTTACATGCAAGACTCTGAACTGGTGAACTTACAAGATTGATTATTTTTGGTTATGTTTTCACGGGACTAGGCTATTTGAAACAGAAACTTCCACCTCTATAAGTACCTACCAAGAAAACAGACTCAAGAGTGTCTTTTTTACTGTAGTTTGATCTGATTGGGGTCCTGGTTTTTCTCCTGAATTAGTCAAATCAATGCTTCCACTCTTAAGCAAGAAAAAATATTTACAACATTTGCACTCATTTAACTAAATCAATTTAGGGGGAAAAAAAAATTCAACAGCCAAGCAGCTGCGAGTTCTGCAAAGAAGATAAAAGGCTGACTTTATAGGTAGCAGGCTTTTTGAACAAAAAGCCATGGAGAAAAGGGAAGCAGAGGCACAGGAAATGCTTACCTCTCCCAGGATGGAAGAGATGCTGAGAAGTGTGATAGGACAATCATGGGAATAATTAGTTGCCACAGACCAGTCATCAAGGAAACCATGTTCTCTCCTGAATTAAAGCACAAGGTTTTATGAGCAGCAGAACAACCAACCTTGGTCTTTGTCTGGTACAGTTAACATGCCACACAGAAGATATTGCTATATAAATAACACCACTACAACTAAATCAGGCAGGAATTCCTCTCAGCAAAGGTAGTACTTCTTTAAAATACAAAAGATGAACAATTCAAATTATTCATGTTGCCACTTAGTTGGAAGTTGTCTGTGGCTGTTATCCCATCACCACCACCATGCAGTCCTGGAGCATGGGTCTGAGGTTGGCTGTGTGAGATGATGTTTGTGCTGGAGTTTTTGCTGTCAGTCAGTATAATATGCCTTGAATACGCAGGGAGGTATCGTGTGAGTAAATCCATCCGTGGCATACCACCATGGAATAAACCCTATTCCACTACACATTTCTGAGAGCTGAGCCTTCAGGGAGAGGATTTAAAGCACCCATGAAAACATTCTATAAGAACAGCTATTATTATAACTAGAGGATGCTCAGGAGAAATCTCTTTGGTTTTTTTCAGACAAAAAAAAAAGGCATGTACCAAATAAAACTTCATCTATACCCAGGAGAAGGGAAGGGCTCTTGTGTGTGCCAATATCTGCCTAATCCTCTAATCTTTCAAGAAGGAAAAAGGAAATAAGACACATTTTCAGCAGCAGCAGAACCTCATCTTTTGTTTTCTTACTGAAATAAAATGGAAAGAAAAGCATATTTTGTTTCTCACAAGCCATTGCATGTTTTTCCCTTTTATTTCCAGGCTCTTTCTGCAGCCTGCAGAGATGTGTCTTTATAAGAGGGTGCTCACATTTCCCCAAGGATTACACAGGAGCCATATCTGAAATTTATAATATACCTGCCTTCCTCCTGCAAAGAAGCAAACCTTGCTTTCCTAGTCACTGTCCTGGAAACTCTCAGCTAGTACTTGCTAACCCCAAATCAAAGTCCTTCCACTTTGGTTTTATTTTAGTCTGAAACTAGACAGTACAAAGAGCATTAAAGGACTGTGAAGAGTTTCCTGAACACTTTCCAGCTGCCCTTCTGGGACTGTTTGCTACTCTAGAGACACTGCAAAGTGAGAAGAGGCAAGAGGAGGAAGGACAAGAGTGGGAGATTTATACAGAAATTTATTAGCTGTAAGCCGCACAAGTATTGAATGGGGGTTGCAAAGCAGACAGGTGAGAGGTTTTACATGATTAAAGAGCCATAAGCTTCATCTCACACACACTTCTGATGCTTTAGTGTTGTGTTTTCCTGCCTGATTTGGCTTTGAGGGGGATAGAATATGTAAAACAAGAAGGATATTTCAAACATCAGTTTCTTACTGGAGTCCAAAAAAACCCAGACTCCACAGTACTGCTTCCCAGCTGAGGGACGTGAAAGAGCTGAAAACAGCCACCAAAACCAGAGCACACCACCCTTCAGGGAAGGGAAACCTGGATCCTGAGCGTGTCCTTCATCCTGTACAACACTTGCCATGCAATGCCTTCACCCCCGGCCAGGTTCTTACCACAGCATTTTGGCCTTCCTTGTGCCAACCCCAGGCTGGCATTTGTCTTCGAGCACCACATTTAAGAGCCCATTTTAAACCCCATCCCTAGCTCCACAGTTTCTCCTCTCTTCATAACCTCTCTAGCTGCTAATCAAGTGGATCAACTTGTCTTTTCCCTTTCTGGCCATAATTTTGTCTTCCCTGAGCAGATCATATTTGCTTGCTGAAGTTGCTAGGAACAGTAATGGCTGGTGGGGAACTTCTCCTGTGAATCAATAACGATGTATTGCATTAGTTTTTTTAATCAGTCAGACCACAGGGAGGAGGTAGATCTTCAGTGTGATCACAGTAGATCTGTTTAACCTTCTTAAGACACTTGAAGCTTTTTATTACCTTCCCCGGTGATGCTGGCTTTCAATAAATGCAAGCTCCTTAGGGGAGCTAAGGGACCTTTAGCTGAAAGAAGTGTGCACCAAGCCAGCCCAGGACCTGGGAGTGGCTCAGACCTTTCCAGCAGACAAATCCTAACTGCTGAAATGTCAGATTGCACCCAAAGGCCTTGCTGAATCAAGGCTCCCATCACCCTGCAGGAGCACTACCGCTAGGAGACCTTCCAAAAAGGCTGGTACACAGCCAGTGTGCGCACCTCCCTGCTCCTTCCCATCCGTTGTGCTCTACCTAAAACTAAAGATCATGTATTTCTGGAATCCGTCTGGTCCAGCTGCTGTTTGGGCTCTGTCCTTTCCTCTGATTGCTCCAGAGGAGGAAAACCCCACATATGACCAGCACTGCTGTTCAGGAGATGGATGGCCTCAGGGCAATGGCTCAGCAAAGCATCACAGAGGCCTGAAATCCACCACCCAAAAACTGAAAGAGGCAAGAAGGCAGCCTTGTCCAGCCTGACCATGTCAGCAGAGCGGTACTCACCAAACTGTGGTCCCTCCGGGCTCTCAGCTGTCACACGGCTGCGATGCACCACTGGCCCACTCCTCTCCATGGCCCCCTATAAATCTGCAGCCCTTATCAGAAGCAATTATTTGGGTAAAGATATGAATATGAGTAATCACGATTAACAGCAAATAGTGCATCCAGGCTGGAATGTCCTTTTAATTACTCTCTAAACCTGATCAGGTAATTTGCAGCAGTTTGATGGACTGTATTTCTGCTGATGTGTATAATGAGGGTAATTTGTTGGACAAACATCCCTGCACCAATTGATTCGTTATGACTGACATCATTATCTCTCCTCCTGGCTTTAATTACCTCTTGATAGGAGCTTAATCTTCTGTTCTTTTTTAAGCCTGGCTTGGGTTTTGTTTGCAATGCCAGGAAGAGTCAGTGAGTGTACGTGTGTACCTGTGATTTGGCTAGACAACATGTCACTTTTTTAGGGCAAACATTGTCTCATCAGCAGGACGAGGGTTGCATGAAGGGACAATACTTTTCAAGCTGCGGTTTCACAGCCATGTCTGGGAAAGGTCTGCTGAGAACAGACTGTATCACAGCTTCAAAGAAAGAAGCATACTTATACATGTACAGAAGACATCCTGAACATATTCCCTGCCTTTGCTGCAGTTCAGAGCTGGATGCTTTCAAATACTGCTACAAAAGGTGACATGGAAATTGAGGGAGAAAATAGGATTACACCCTTTCTCTCCTTCTTTATGTTGTATAAAGTAGCTTGGAAGGATTAATGGTCGTAAATAAATCTTCTTATCTTCCAAATGGAGAAACAGGAGCTATATCACACTTTTTCTTGTCTACTTACCTTTTTTTCTTTGGAAAAGCAGAGGGCATCCCCATGACTAGAGGGCTGGGAGGGACCTGATTTTCTTCGTCATCTTTCCCTTGGAAGAATAACCCACATACTGATGAGCAGCCAGCCTCGGCACTACTGCATGTGACTGCAAAAGGGAGGGGGAGAAAGAGCAGTGAAAAGTCTCCCCATTCCAGGACAGGAGGACTGAGAGGTGCCATGGCCACCACTTGGGCAGAGAAGCCCATTTTCTCCTCTGAGACAGTGCAGGTCAGTCCTGCACACATGCAGGCGTTTCCCAACCATTTTCCTCTGCTTTCTGTAACGACTGCTTTCTTCAGCTGCGTTAGTGCTGTCATTTCTCCTGCAGCCCTCCCACCATCGCTCTGATACAACTTTCTGTAGCGTTATGACCTCGTTCAATGCATTTCCTCGCTATACAACCCGGTGTGGATGCCTTGTGAGTCCCATCTTTCTCTCATGGCAGCTGAAAGCTCTTGGGAGCACGCAGCCCTGGTTTGGGAGCCCCCAGTGACATTAGTGACATCTGCAATTCTTGTCTTTCTGTTCTCTGCATTTAAATCTTCATATTTTCTGTATTCACTTTTTGTGTCTGCATCGGTGGTGGCCGGCTTTAGCTTGGGCTCACAGTGTTGCCAAACATCTATAACTGAGAAAGACCATGCAGGAACAAGGCAAGGAGGAAAAAAGTTTACAAAAAAAAAAAAAAAAAGGCTAAACAACATATAAGGAGCTAAAAATGGCTGACGTGGTTTCTTTTCCTTTGCAAATAACCTCAATGAGTCTGAAATGCCTCCAAGCTCTAGGGAAAACTCAGTTTGCTATGAGAATCTAAACGTGTCTAAAGAAGAGGCACAGAGGAGTGGTTGCAACGACAAAGTGGCCCCGTGGTGGCAGCAGAGGGTGAGCAACAGGAGAGTAAAAGCTACTGGGGACTGGAAGAACATGAACGAAGTAACCCAATTTATCTGCTTTGCAACAAAAAATAGGCTTTGCCTTGCAGCAACAGTGGCAGAGAGTGAAAAGGTGATGGGGTAGAAAAGTGTGTGGCCATGCCCAGCACTGCTGCAACATAATGCAGGTGACAACCATGGGCTTGAGCTTAAACGCAGCTCCTGAGGCCCCTGATGAGGAAATTCAGGACCATGCAAGGAAAGTCAAGAGCTTTTGCAAGCTGCAATTCATACCTGTATAGACTGGAGCCCAAGCCAAATCCCCAGTCCTGAAACAACATCTGATTGTCCTTTAACCAGAATTAACATTAAACTCTCATCAGGAGACATTATGGAAACAGAAGTGATAAACCACACTGCTTAGCGCTATCAACTGAATGGAGCTTCGTGAATTTGCACCTTGCTTTTCCCATTCTCCGTTTGTGTGAGCATTCCAACTGGGAGTGAAGATTCCCCTTGCCTGCATCCAGCAGGCACAAAACATGATTAAATGACCCATTGGTCACTATAATCTAACCCATCGTCTCTGTGCAGCATCATTGCAGAGAAAAGCTCCCCGTCATTGACTCTAAGAATGACAAAAGAAAAGGAAATTGTTGCCCTCATCTGATCCCTGCTCCTTGCACAGCTGTCATACCCAAAGCTGCAAGGAGTCAGGGCTGATCTGATCCTTGCCACCAGCTGCCAGTGACTCACCTGTTTATGGGACATAGCACTGTTTTGCAGGATGTATAGCAAAGTGCCACAAACGGGTAACACTAAGGAGGGCTGAGGCTGTGCACCAACACTCCTTGAAGAGGGCAGGGAGAGATGCCCTGGAGCAGGAGGGAGAAGGGGTTTGTGAGCTGTGGAGCCAACCCTGAGCAGGAGGTGAGCTGCACTGAGGATGCTTCCAGATGTAAAGCCATCATGATCTTTGTGCAGTCACTTCTGCTTAGGCTTGACACCGACTGACATCTGCAGCGTGGAGAGACCTGTGGCAAGCTGCATTAAGTAAATCCAGGTGCCACGGGTGCAAGGGCTATTCACAGCAGCCACGTGGTGTTGACTGGGGACACCCTTGTGTGTGGCAGCAAGCAAAGGCTACGAAACAGAGAGGCCATCCCCACTTCAACACTGAGGCTCTGCATTAAAGGGCACCTAATGGCTAACGCGTACAAGCTGACCCACCCCAAAGGCATCAAAGCTGAGCAGTATAGAGGAAAGTCTTTTTTCTCCTCTTTACAGTGGGAGGGAGGGGCCACCAAACCTGCAGTGTGAAAGGCAGCATCTTATAAGTACATTAAATGTACTAACTCCCAATCTGGCTAGTTTAAGGACAGCGCATCAGCCTGGCCTTTTTCTATGTTGGAGGAAAAGGCACAAGAAACTGCATTTTGAAAAAGAAAGGGTTTCATCATAAAGCTTGGTATCCTGACCCCACACGGTAAGAAGGGTGCAGGCAGATTCTCAAAAATCAGCATACAGAGCTCTGAGGAGTCATCTGAGTTTTGAAGGGGAGAAACTCCCATTCACGCTTAAAAGAAATTGATAGAAGAGATCAGAAAAGACCTTCTGGCTGGAGGAGCAGTGTGGCTGCATCTCCAGAGAGCTTTAAGAACAGGCTGGGTAAATGCTGCTACAGTGTCATGTGGACATCGTTGCTCCTGCCTTGGACCATCCAGCCTTTGGGGTTGCTGTTGATCCAGGACAAACCTTACAAGATAGCATCCCTTGCCAGCTTGTCCACTGTCCAGACCCCAGCTGTGTTACTGCAGCAACTCGGATCTGCTGGGGCTGCTCTTCTTCATAGAGACACCTTGGCTGGCCAAAACACACATCCCAAAATGCTCCTACAGCCTCTGCATTGCTCTCTTTGAGGTCTGTGGCTTCAAGATGGCTAAGTGCACAAGGGTCAAGACAGGCTGAGAATGTTGGGGATGGACCGTCTCATCCATCACACATGTCCAGCAATGGTGTCACAGGTCCTGATGAAGATGTCTAGGTGCAGCTGACCTTTGAGGAGCCCAGGCATAGGCTGTGACCCCATCCAATGGCAGCACCCACCGATGGCATGGGAGTTTATTGAGGTCAGATGGTACTAGGAACCGCATGGCTAAATCCTTCCTACGTAAAAGTAAAATACCCTTTAATCAGCTTATGGGGTGTTCAGGAACTTCTACCTCCCCCACTCTTTTTTTTCTTTCTTAATATGTATGCGTGTGAGTCCACGTGTGTAGTGGGGATTTTCTCTTGTATGTTTGCAGGTGAGCCTTCCCCATGCCAAGGAGCTGACCATGACGCTGCTATCTACTGAGAGCAGAATGGAGTCATTTTCCTGCACCACTCCCAGGTCTGTAAGAGAAAGGACCCTAATTGGAATAAGGGGATTGGAGGATTTAGCCTTCTAAATGCTCCTTTCTTACACAGGATGGTTTCAGGAGTGGTTTTAATCTCTACCACCTGATTTTGTAATTTTGGCTTGCAAAAGGGAAGAGTGGGATGGGAGGAAGGGGTGAGCAGGGACAGCTGTAGGTGGGTTTGGGAGAGGAAGGGAGAAAGAAAATCACAGTCCCATATGGCTGTGGGACCTCAGAAAAACTCCACTCCCAAGGTGGACTCAGTTATTATTCCCAAACCCTGAACAGGGTAGGAAGCAATCCTTGGCTTGGAATAAACCCGGTGCCACAGAAACATGCCAACCCCTCATGTTCCCTTTTGGAGGTTTGTGCTTAAAGCAATGCAGAAAACAGAGGGTAAAGCCATGCTTACTCTCTGTTTCTCTGGCTTCCCAGTGCCTCTGTGTGTGCAAATGGGCTGTATCACTCTCTGTAAGGTTCGTTCTGTGGGCAAGGAGTCTGCACCTCCCCATGCCCAGTATGACAAGATACCTGGGTTTCGTTCAGGTCCCAGCCTTGGAATGGAAATGCCCTGTCCTTGAGGCTACACATACCTCCATGGCAGCATGTGATTCAGCAAGGGCCAAATTGCTCTCAGCACTCAGCTCCTGAGCTGCTCTTGGGTCTACTTAGATTGCCTATGCCTCTCCTCTGCTTTGTTCAGCTGGGCAGCAGAGTCAAACAAGGCAGGTGGGAGATGTGTTGTGTTTTGCTGCAACCTATGGCACCTTTCTGGATTTACACCAGTTTAAAAGGAAAGTTAAAACAGATGCTGGACATGCTAGTTACCTCCATGGTTGGCAGCACTACCCAGGGGCAAGGGCAGCAAAACCTCTGTCAGGAGCTCTGGGCTGTATTAGAGCAGACCTCAGTCATTCTGATCA